GCTGAACTCCGGGCACAAAGCTAAATACAGAGATACAATCCATATAACGGAGACGTTTACCTGCCAATGCATTTGTATTTCTGTCCATCCAGTCATGAGATTTACACAGTGCAGTCAGGAGGATAACGCCACTGGCTTTGCCATAGTTAATACAGTAGTATCATCGTCCCTTCCCTGTGCTAGGACGGTGAAGGAGCAGCAGCAGGCTAGCGAGGTCATCCTTCTGCTCTCTGCTCCTGTTTGCATTATCCTGATTGGCTTCCTGTCCTGGAGTTCAGCTCTGATGTATACATTGCCATATACAGATGGCAGGGCTTCTAAAGTGCACCTGTCCAGGCACTTGGCGTGAGCTGTACACGTGCGACACATGGGGGCCGTGGATTGCTTTTCCCCATGTCGGTGTATTGGGGAATCACTACAGTGCAGCTTACTACAATGAGGTGATAGTACATTGGGAGGGGGCATCTGACAAATTCCTTTCAGGTCGATGATTGTTTAAAATGAAAAAAAAACCAACTAATATGCAATCTATATTTTTTAATTTATTAAAGTTTTTTGTTTTTATTTAATACGACATCGTCTCCTTTATTGTGACATCAATGGTATCAAACATCTCAGAGCTAATCTTCAAATAGTTTTTATTGACGGTGGTCGGGGACAGAGGGGGAGGTTTATAGATGGGTAGTCGGGGACAGAGGGGTAGGTTTATAGATGGGTGGTCGGGGACAGAGGGGTAGGTTTATAGATGGGTGGTCGGGGGCAGAGGGGTAGGTTTATAGTTGGGTAGTCGGGAAGGAGGAGCTTTGCTACCGGCGCTTCACAGGAAGGCTTCCGAGACCTTGCTGAACGCCTCTGACATCACAGCGACATGTCCTCCACGCCTCTGACATCACAGCGACATGTCCTCCACGCCTCTGACGTCACAGCGACATGTCCTCCACGCCTCTGACGTCACAGCGACATGTCCTCCACGCCTCTGACGTCACAGCGACATGTCCTCCACGCCTCTGACGTCACAGCGACATGTCCTCCACGCCTCTGACGTCACAGCGACATGTCCTCCACGCCTCTGACGTCACAGCGACATGTCCTCCACGCCTCTGACGTCACAGCGACATGTCCTCCACGCCTCTGACGTCACAGCGACATGTCCTCCACGCCTCTGACGTCACAGCGACATGTCCTCCACGCCTCTGACGTCACAGCGACATGTCCTCCACGCCTCTGACATATACAGGGTGGTCCAGGATTGCATTGTAACAACTTCCGGCCAAATAAACTTCTTTCTATTGTTACAAATGTAACTTCTTCTTCTTTGTGTCTGTGGCTCTCTGGGGCCCCCTTGTGGCCATTCTGAGCGAATTCTGAAATCAGAAGTTGTCTGTAGTAAGAAACATGGAAGTGCAGAAGGAGTTAAAGTCCATCTCAGGCCAGAAGGTTTTCTGTTT